TTACGGTTATTATCATCCAAGAAAAACGGTGCTGAGTAAAAAGACCAGGCACAGGGTGATACCTCTGGGCTTGACTGACCTCTGCTCTGACCGGAGCTGGCTGTGAAGTAGGCTCACATGGAGCAGAAGCCTGCACTTTTGGGCTTACCACTGGCTCTCTGATGGGGCAGGTACAGTTAGGTGTGGCTGCAGGCACCACGCAGAGCAAGAGGCTCCAATCATTCCTGAGATACTCTCATGTTTGTGCATCCTTTTCAATATGCAGACATTACTCACTCTGGGCCTTGGGCTGCACCTCTGGTCTCTGTCCTCAAGGAGCTGACATGTTGGTGCAAGAGATAGACATTAAGGCACCACAGAGAGTGACCTGCTTGGGAAAAAGCAAAGCAGAAAGCCAGATGGGGTGGTGAATACCTGTAATCTCAGCACTCTGAGAGGCTGAGACAGAAGAACTGCAAGTTTGAGTCTTGTCTGGGCAATTTAACAAGACTCTGTGTAAAAATTTAAAAAATTTAAAAAGGGCCGAGGATGTAACTCAGTGTGAAGACCCTGGATTTAATTCCCAGTACTGAGAAAAACAAACAAACAACAACAACAACAAAACAGGGCAAAGGAGGTAAGTCCTGCAGTGGGCAGGCTTCTCCCTGAAAGAAGAGCACTGGAGGAGACACCGTAACTGACTGAGGGGTCAGCAACAGGATCAATCTGGTGACCAGCCAGAGGGTCTGAAAGGGGGAGGCCTAGGGAGGTGGGTGTTGTGGGGGGCTTGAGGCACTTGCTTTTCTCATCCATTTTGCATTTGGGTGGGCCTGTGCTATGGGACCTGGCCTGGAGAAGCCCTGAGAACTGAAGCTGGGCCAAGGTCTAGGGTGGGCAGGAGAAACCCGGGCAGCTCTCCAGAGGTGTTTCTGGGGAGCATCAGGTGCATCTGCCTGCCATACTGGGCAAAGACATCAGGGAAGGGCTGTTGATTGATTTATACCTAAACGTTGATGATTGATTTATGCCAAGCACAGGACATTATATTAAGATGGGATTCCCACAGGAGTGGGTAACTGCTGAATGGAGAGGTTGAAGTTCTCAGCCTGCTGCCCATAGAGACAGCAAACCACAGCTTTCAGGACAGTCTCCTTGTTATATAAGGGGGTCTCACTGTCCTCAAAATGAAAGAAGGATTCTGAATGGGCTGAGCCTCCCACCCCACCCTGCTTTGGCCTCCCTGGCCTGTGGCTCTGAGGCTGCTCAAGTCTGTGTGTGCTTCTGGATCTCATGTGCTCAGCCCAGGGCTGGAAGGGATGAGCCTTAGCCGCAAACTTGTCCTGAAGAAAGTCCTTGCTGGAAGAGAAACTGTAGGTTAATGGACAGCTGGGTTCAGCGCCATACTGAAGGTGACAGGAATATTTCTGTGTTATGGGACACTGACTTGGGTTCATCTCAGTGGCTTTTCCCAGGGCTACATAAGAATAAGATGTGTTTATTGCACAACCTGTTATCATCCCCATTTTCCAGAGAAGGAAATGGAACCTCAGCAAAGGATGCATCCAAAGGCCCTCTGCTGGAGAGGGGCAATCTTGAGGTATGGGTCATCCCCTCACCAGGTCCACTGGGCCACTTCTGAACACTCTTATCTCAACACTGGAGGGAGGCAAGATGCCTCTGTTCTCTTGGGGCAGGGAGGGGATAAGCCCCTTTTGCCAATACAGGGAGCCCAGGTTCAGGTGTATAAACTGGTCATAGAGGAACCTGCCCACATGTATGACGCCCTGGTCCTCAGTCCTTGTATTTGGAGCATGAATGTCTCCCCACAGGGAGGCTGGTGCTCCTATGTCAGGCAAAGGACTATGCACTAATGGCCTAGGACAACCTCAAAAGGGACATGATATGATTAAGAATTGTACCCTGGGGGATGCAGGTGTAGCTCAGTGGTAGAGTGCTTGATTAGCATTTAAAAGGCCCTCAGTTTGATCCCCAGCACCACAAAACAAAACAAAACAAACAGAAACATCAGACCCTGCAAGTGGGTTGGAAGGGGTGATGTGAAGCCCACACTGCAGGACTTGGGTAGTCAGGATAACTTCTTTGCTGAGACATTCTTGGTTGTGTAAAGTAGAGCAATACACTTGCTCATTCTGTGAAATGGGTCTCATCATGGGGCCCAAGGAGAAGACCTGTTGGTCTCATCTGAACTATTCTGGTGGACAACCAGGTGGGGGCTGTGTGTGTATATGGGTGCTCCAGGCTTTAGGATGCCCTAGATCAGTGATGGCAGACCTTTTAGAGCTTTCAATGATAACAAAAAGCCAGCTGCAGCATGCATGCCATAGGTTCACCACCACTGCCCTAGATTCACCCTCTTCTTCCAGAGCTGTACTCCTGTCCATTCTCTTGTGCCCCAGCTGAGGGCATGCCAAAGGACTCTTCTAGGCACCCATGATGGGGCCGACTGAGAGGGCTGACTCAGGCCTGTTCCTGCTGGGATACCTGAGAAGTTTCCTAGGAGGAGGAAGAGGGACTTCAGGGCTACTTCCTTCATTCTTGCCTTCAGCTTCTGTCTTCTGGGGATAGGGGGAGCAGAGGTTGGGGAGCTGAGTCATTTTCCATCTTGGTCACTTGGAGGGAGAAGGAGGAAAATTTTCTTGAGAGCTTTTGGTCCTCTGAGAGGCTGGTCTCCCAGGAGGAAAAGGAAACCAGGACATTGTGTGCCTACGCAGGGCAGGCATGGGGGCATTGGGGTGGAGTCCCCTTGACACCCCTTTTACTTTTTACTGTAGTCCTAAGCAGTCACCAGGCAGGGAAGACAGGGTTCTCATTCCAGGGACACATCTGGTTCTGAGTCCTGGCTTCACCATCCAGCAGCACTGTGACTAGGCAAGTGTCTACCCTTCTCTGTGCCTCCATTTCTCTATTTGTGAAATTGGGCGATGTGGAAAGGAAAGAAGGGAAAGGAAAAATGATGAGAAATGGAAAAAATGGAAATAAAGTCTTTGTAAATAGGGAAGGGTGGAGGGTGTGAAGGGAGGGCTAGGAATGCAGAAAAAATAAGAACCAAGATGCATTATATAAAGGTCCAATTCCCAATGAGAAATGTAATTGTGTTGTATACCTACAATGTACCAATAAAAGAATTTAATACACACAAAAAAAGTAATTGGGCGATGAGTGTATCTACTCCAGACGGTCACAGTGACAGTCGGTCACTTTAGCCAGGTCCTTAGCGCACACCTGAGCACGTAGTGAGCACCCAGTAAAGTCAGCTGTTTTACCCAGCCCAGAGCCCTGCTCAGCACTTTAGGTAAGCTCCTTGCATTTAACCAGGGGTATATCTTTATGAAGTAGGACTCCCCACTAACTCTTTGACCACATGGAAACTGAGGCATTGAGTGGTAAAGGGACTTGCCTCCACAGATGCTCAGTAGAGGAGATGGGATTTTCAAATTCAGTGCAACCTGAGGTCGATTGAGTGCTCTGGGTGACCCTGGGGCCTGGGGTGACAGCCTGGGGCCTGGAGCCGGGGCTGGTGGGGCCTGCAGAGGGCTCTGTGCTGAGCTGCCTGTGATTTGGGCGGCGGCCAGAGCTGTCCTCCTTGGTTAGAATCCTGCAGCCAGTCTCCCCGCTGTGCAGACACATAATTATATTTCACATTAAAGGGGAAGCGGAGGCCAAGGGGGCCAGGGAGCCCTTTGAGGCTCAGGCTCTGGGCACAGATCTGCCTCCTCGGACCAATTCTGTGGCCCTAGGGCTGAACTGGGGTTCAGGCCAGTGATAAAATGGGGTTTCCCTGGGTCAGGGCTGAGCTGAGTTGGTCTGTTTGCCAGGATGAAAGGCATCAGCTCTGTGAGAGGCAGAGAAATGTGAGGGCCAGACAATACACCCCAGGAGGCTGGAAGAGCAGGGTTCTTGGGGACAGGCTGGGGAGGAAGCTTGAGCCTTAGAGAGGGTGGTCAAGAGAAGGGGGTCACATGGGGGTCAAATTAGCAGAGAGAGGGCAGGGGGAGGAGTACAGATGAGAGAGCAGGAGATGGGAGAAGCCAGAGGGCCAGGTGGGGAGGAGAGATATGCTCTTAAGGTGTGTGTGTGTGTGTGTGTGTGTGTGTGTGTGTGTGTGTGCACGCTTGGTGGGCAAGGGGAAATGATTCTGAGGGAATGCACAAGCTTTGATGTGTGTATTTGTGCACAAGTACAGATACCACCCTACATGTGCACATAGGAGCCTGTGCACCTGCAACCATCGTGCATGTCAGGGCATGTATTTTGCATGTGTGGATGTAATGCTGAACCTGTGTAGCCAGCTATATGCACATGTGTCCAAGATTCCCTTGCCTGTGTGTGCATGCCTGTGTGTATGCTCGCCATGCACCTGTGTGCGCGCGTGTCCCTGGCAGGATGTGTCTGTGCGTGTGCGTGTGTGTGTGTGTGAATTTGTCTGTGCTTGTGTGCACGGGCGCCCCAGTGCGCAAGTGGCTCGCAGTGTGCGTGAGGAGGGGGGTCCGGGACTAGAAGGGGGCGCCAGGCCAGGCCAGGGCCGCGGTGGGCGGGGGCAGCGGCGGCGCGGTGCGGGGCGGGCGTGCTCTCGGCGGAGAGTTAGAGGAGTTGCAGAGCTGGGCAACGGTGGCAGCTGGGCGCGGAGCTGGGTGCGCGCCGAGCTTCTGCCTCCGGCCGCCTCCTCGCCCTCCATTCCTCGCTCTCTGTCTTCCCCCGGCCACGCCGCTGCCACACCAGCTCCTTGGGAACCATAGCCAGGAGAAGGGGCCTGGCGCGGCAGAAACCAGCGTGGAGGTGCCCGGGACCCGGGCGTGGGGGAGCGCTCTGGGCCCTGCCCGGGATCAAATAACAGCCGGCGGGGGAGGGGTTGGGCCGGCTGCGCTCACAGCGGTACTGAGGGACCCGCGCCAGCCGCACCCGCTGGAGCGAGCGCCCCGCGGCCCGGGGCGCCGTCCAGGCGCGCGGCCCCGACCCGTGGCTGGACCGGGGCGATCCGCGTCCGGGCCGACGCGCCCCTGGGCATGGAGCGCCCCCGGGGGCTGTCCTGAGGCAGCAGCGGCGGCGGCGATGCAGCCAGTGCAGCTGCTGCCGGGGCCAGAAACCGCCGCCCGGAGCTCGGAGGACGCGGAGCGCGCCGCGCCCCTGCCACTGACCGAGGTAAGAGCGCGGCTGCAGGCGCACGGACCCCGGAGGCCGGGCCCCAGCTATCCTCAGGCAGCCTTCCTGGCCCCTAGTGCGCACGAGGAGGTGCAGCAACAGGGAAGGTGGGGCAGGAAGGTTTTTTCTTGCTCCCGTTCTTTCTTCCTTGGTGAACCATCCGAGGAAATGCTGACAGCGAGCTTTTCTTCCGCTGCCATGTCTCCGGCTACTGCCACCATGGAACTTTGCTCCAGGCTAACCTTCGTCCGGGGGTGCTTCAGATAACTTTGAGGAGCCTTTGGGCCTCCTCCGCTCAGTTTGCATGAAGGGGCTCAGGAGGCACCCAGCTAGAGCCACTTTGCGCGGGGCATCGGTCCTAGGCATGACCTTCTCTGAGACCCCGCGATCAAGGTGCGGGTTCCGAGGGGGCGTTTGGGCTTTATGAGAGGGCCTCAAGAACGACCCGGGTCCGAGACTTGCGGATTTTGGGGGTTGTTTTTCCATCTCACTTCCTGTGCTCTAGTAAAAATATTCTGGAAATGGTTCTCAGCCAGTGAGCCCGCTGACAAGTACAGCAGCTTCTTTTGGTTTTTTAAAAGTCGGCCTTGAGAACCCCGCAGGAGCTAAGGGTTGTTGGGCTCTCCTGTGTGCACAAGTCTGCTCTAAGTGTCCTGAGGGGGGAGCTGGAAAGCGATCAGGGGGCTCCTGGAAGTGGTGGCTGGGGTGGGAACTCCTGGGGGGGTGCTTCAGGCAGGAGTGGAGGCCCATACCAGTCTGTCTTGTTCACATTTCATGTGCATGTCTTAAAAGCTATGTTTAGAACGAGAATCACCTGATAGTGTGTTGGTGGTGGTCTCTGGTCCTGGGAAGTCCTGTCTCCCCAAACCTGGACCATCAGGGACCAGGGAAACCCCCTCCCCGTTTGCCAGGGGGTGTATCCATCCTGCAGTGTTGAGATTCCCTGTGGCCATTTCCAGTTTCTTCATTCTCCCATGCCTAGGCTTGAGCCTTGTATCAAAGCTCTGGGGACCTCCTGCCCCCTGCATCTTCCTCCCAGAACCTTGTTCCCAGGCTGTTTCCCTGGAGCACCGAGGCGCCCACATGTCGCTGAAATCGGCAGCCGCCCCCTTGAAGGTGCCAACCCAGAAAGCGTTAGCCTCCGGCCTACCCTTCGCCCCCTCCTCCAGGTGCCAGTGGAGGCCAACCCTTGGCTGCTGTCCCACCTGGTTTGGACCCCAGCCTCACCTGCACTGGGCTTTGAGATCGAGGCCCCTCCTCTCAAAGCTCCACCCTGGACAGCAGCCATGTGGCAGGAGAGGGCCAGAGAGGAGAGGTGCAGCTCAGCACCAGAGGCTCTAAGGAGTCTTTCTGAGGAGTCTTCCCTCCTGTGCTCTGAAAAGAGCTCCCCTCACCTCTGTGTTTGTCAGGGGCTCCCAAAGAGATGTCCAGCAAAATCTGCCCCTTAGTTTCCTAGTGGCCCCTCTAACCAGCTAAGGGATTCAAGGTTGGCTGCTTCAAGGTTGGGACCCTAGGAGGGCTGTATCAGGTGATGTCAAGCCTGAGATAGAGCAGGTCTGAAGCAAAAAAGGCCTGAGCATTCTTGGGACAAGGAGGGAGGCTTCAGTGTGCTGGAGAGCAGGGCCAGACCCTCTTCTCCTCTGGAGCACCACCGAGCACATACAGTAGGCACTCTGTAAATGCTGACTATTGTCACGGCATGGCAGGCATGTGCACAGTGGAGGGATGTTAGGAGCTGAACTGTTTGAGGAGGAAGATGTGCCTGGATGAGGTATTGCCCAAGGTCACACGGCGGGCAGCTGGGCTGAAACGGAAGCTTCATCTAGCTCTCCCCAGGCTAGGGGGCTGTCCCTGCCAGCCTCGCTGCCCAGAGTTGCTGTGTCCTCCTTCCTCGGTCTGCCTCAAAGGGAACACAGAACACTGAGTGGCCTGCAAATTGAAATAATAATGATGTCAAGGATAATAGTAGTAACAGTACTGGTGACAGTACTGCCCCACATCTCTGCAGTATTGGGACCAGTGCAGCCTGTAGGCAGTTTCCTCTGGCCTAGACATGCCTCCAGTGTCCTAAGCCATGGTTAGTAACACCAAGCATGACACTAGAGCCCTTGGCACATGGCTGAGGTAGAAGTGACTGTATTGTCACTCCCAGCAACTTCTATGGTCCTTGCTCCCAACCCTAACCCCCTGGCAGGGGCTGCTGGTACCCATGTAGTGGTCACCCTCAGCCCCTGCTCTAGTATAACTCTGGCCTGGGGTGCTGTCTCTCTGATAGGTGCAGCCAGTGTTGTGGCTAGGCCTCAGACAGGACTTCACTGTGAGTAACACATAACACACCTGCCCCACCCCTGGGGCCTGCCACTGAGCCCTGCCGTGGGCTGGCACCAAGGAGAGGCCAGGATGGGCAGCTCATGGGCAGCAAGAGGGGTAGAGGCAGGGCCAGCCATGTGGAAGGAGTGGTGGGCGTAGGCTCAGCCCCATGAAGGAGGGTGCTTTGGGGAAGGGCTCTGCTTTGGGGAGCCGGCAGCGGCAGGGAAAGGCTGCAGATTAAAGTGAGATGCCCAAAACTGGGCCATGCGGGCAGGGTGCCTGAGGCTTCATAGGAGTTGTGGGGGTGGGGTGGGGTGTTGAGCAAGGGCTGGTGGGTTTTCCAAAGGAGCTGGGTCCAGGGAAGGACCAGAGCTCTGGCTGGGCACTGGCCAAGGGCCCAGTGCTCTGCCAGCTGATTTAATTTCCTAATGGCCTGCCAGAGCAGAGGGCAGCATTAGCTCCATCATACAGACAGGGGTTGGAGGCAGGGGAGGCTCTGGAAGGCCACAGCCTGAATGCTTCCAACTCAGAGCCTTGGAGCTCTCCCTGGGACAGATCACACCCTCCCTTGGACCACAGACACCCTGCCCTAGGCATCTTCATGCCAGGTTACTTGGCCTGCCTGCATTCCAGCTCCCAGGGAGTGACATCCTTAGGACCTAGTGAAGGCCTGGTACGCAGTAGGTGCTCAGTAGATGCTCCATGAGGCTTCAGTGGGAGCTCTTGCTCTGCTGAGCTGGTACAAGCTGTGGTGGGCGTGAGCTCTGGGAGTGGAGACCCTGGCAGTCCACTTCGAAGTGTCCTGCTTGCAGAGGTGCTGAATGAATGTTGAATCAATGGATATCACTGTGTGCGAGGAGACCTGAGGGCAGATATGCAGTGCCAGGGAGAGAGTGGAGCCAGTGGGACAGTCACTGCTGGCCTCAATTTCTTGTCTGTGAAGTGGGACTGAAACCCCTGGATGGGGGAAGTGGAAATGTGAACCTAATCATGTGTTTCTGGGGGGCATGCAAAGGGGGTCTTTGGGTGTGCAAAGGGGGCCCTGGGAAGGAGGAGGTAAGAACATGTGTGGTCTCAGAGCCTTGGGAGTCTGTCACTGCAGCCTGGCCTTCCCTTGGTCATGAGGGAAACTGGCCTGGAGACAGAAGTCAATTGGCTGCAGCAGAAGTAGCCTCAAATGCGGCCTTCTGTCCTGGAGTGTCCTCCATGTCTACCCCCTGCTTCCTCTGCCACCCACCTTGATGTTCCCAGCTCAAGCTCTCCTCCTTGGCTGCTGAGTGGCAGCTGCTGAGGTGGCATAAGGCTGTGGGGACCCTAGGGACCCCAGCCCAACTCCCTCATTAGCCTGCAGTCTTGCAGCACAGCCAGCCATGGTGGGGCCTCTTTCTCAGCTGCCCCAGGGAATGGTTCTGTCCCAGTGGGCATTAGTGCTGCTCTTAGAGTCAGTGGGCACAGCTTCCTGGATCTTGTCTGGGACCCCTAACCTTCCCTCCAGGCCTTGGGCAGCTGAAGCCTCCCCTCTACCCCTCACCTGTGGCTGGGGCCTCTTTGAAAGACAGGCTTGGAGAGAGACCAGGGAAGAAACAGTAAAGCTTAGGGAGTGACAGGCTTCCCCTGCCTCACTCTCTCCTCTCTGGCTACCCCACCTGGCCTCCCTGTCATACCTCCCAAAGGCTAGGCCTGCTCCTGCCTCAGGACATTGGCATGCGATACTCTTTTTGCCTGGACTGCTCTTTCCCAGATCCCTACACAGCCTCTCCCTCACCACTTTTAGGTCTTGCTTAGATGCTGCCTCCTGGGCTGGGGATTTAGCTCAGTGGTTCTGCTGCCTGCCTCAAAAGCACAAGGACCTGAGTTCAATCCCCAGTACTTAAAAAAAAAAAAGTAGATGCTGCCTCCTTTCTGAGCCTTGACTCCCCTGTACAACACTGTGTCCACCGTTGCAGGTCCCTCACTCTCTCCTACTTGATTTTTCTGCAAACCTGTATATCTGCCACAGAGCATTTTATTTCTTTGTTTATTGTCTGTCTCCCCTTGAAATATAAACTCCTTTATATTTGCAGAGTTTTGGTCCTGTTCTACCACAGCTGTATCCCCTAGGCAATGTATAATAGGTGCTCAGTAAACATACGGGGCCCGAATGGGTCACTTTGGCTGTGCGTGGTGCTTGCACAGAGCATGTGCACAGCAGCATTTGTAGCCAGCATTACTATACATTCTGCAGATGAGAATACCAAGCTTCAGAGGGCCGATGTCATTGTTCTAGAATTGTGGGGCTTGTTGCGGGCAGAGCTGGGATTCAGATTTTTCTGCAGAGCCTTTGGCCAGTGTCTGGCTGAGGGGGAAGGAGTTGAAATTTATGTCTGTTTTGAGCTCTTTATGTCTGTGCCCTCATCTGCTGCAAGCTCTGAGCCTTGTTGTTTCCCAGCTCTGGAGGTCTCCACTCCAACCTGCAAGTAGCAAAAGCTGGTCCATTGTAGAGCTGAGGAAACTGAGGCCCAGGGAGTCGAGCTTCAGCTCTCCACTTCCCCCCTTGAAGTTGAAGAATCTTGTCACCTTCCTTTCTTTAGTAGAAGTGTACAGGGCCCCTGGCTTTAGGAGGTGGTATGGTGGGAATGTCTTCATTTCTTGCCCAGTTAAGCATTTTCAGGCCTCACTGGATGCTTGTGTTTTATGTCAGTGTATTTCAC